TATGGGTCGGAACCGACTCGATGGCACTTAACAACAACAACAATAACATTGGTGAGATGTTTCGGTTTGTTGTTAAATGTTGTGGAACATGTTTCCGACTCATGGCAAGTCTGTATAGGGTTTCCAAGGAGTGGCTGGTTATTTGAACTGATGACCTACAAGGTTCAAAGTGACTTTGCAGTCCAGTGCTTATCCTACAGCGCCACACCAGGGCTAAAACCATCAAATTGTGGTATTTCTGTTACAGCACCATGAGATAACAAAGATAACAAATAGCTCTTTAGTAAAGTTAATAAACACACTTAACTTCATATTTGAGTGCTGTCGAATTTATTGACTCCAATACAAAACAAGCTAAAAGTTGATATTTAACAGGAACAAGACAAATATTGGTGACGTTGCCTTCTTGGAGAGTATATGCACTCAGATCATGAGACCTAAGATAAAACAAAGACTGGATTGTCAGGAATCAAACAAGGACTCAGTATCACCTATCAATATTAACAAATGCTAAAGGCAAACTGAGATGGTGAAAAATATTCTTTATGTTAAGCCCACATTAACAATGAAGACACTCAAATGCATCCTAACATTTTAGGGCACAGACTAGAGACATAACATGACTGTTTAAATTGATGCATCAGCAAACATTTCTTAAATCCGTCACCATCTTTGTACTACAATTACATGCTTGTTGGTGCTACACTACACAGATTCAACAGTTTATCACCAAAGACATAACTAAATCTGAAAAAGACTTCAAACTGACTCTGCTCTACTACAATTCAGAAAACTCAACTCAGGATTAACAGAACCTTTTGTTTTGAGATTCTGCTCTCTCAGTTGGGCTCCCTTGACAGCGCTAGCCTGCAAATGCTAGCAATGCATGTCATCTCCCTCATCTTGTCTGACATTTGAAAATGAATTTGTAGAAACGGCATAAACAATGAAATTGTATTTCAAATTCTGAACCTGCAATCTTGATTCTTGCTTTGATGCAAAACATACTCCTCTTCAATGGACCCCACTAGCACAGCGACCCCCTTTCTCTCTCTATTCCTTTGCCCTGAAGGCACTTCTGGCTTGCTTAATTCGTGCTCTTTGGCTGCCTAGACAGTCAGGACACCGAAGGCCGTTTGGATTGATCACTCCTCGCCCCCTTCTTTTCTATGGCTAATAGCACTTTCCTGCTTTTTTTCTACTGCCAGGTCTGCAGACTTGGTGCTGTCATCAGGGGGACAGAGGCGATTTCGGCTTCGAGCTCCTGGTTGGTAAAGCTGCATTGCTGGACGGTCCTAAAGTATAAGGAAATGTATTAAGGTTACAAGAGGGCTACTAAACTTTTAGGTTGGGGTGTCAGGATTTTGTCTTTGTATTCATACATACCAAAAACTCATCCAAGCCCCAAACCATGTGAGAGTCTGATACCTGACAGTTTACATGTTGATGGTTAATTTGCTTTCACTGGTCTGCTTTCTTTGCCTTATATCCAAAGAAAAGTGGCCATTTCATTAAGTATTATTTGTTATGTGAAGAGCCCGGTGTGGTATTGTAGGATCAGCAATCACAAGGCTGAAAGTTCCAACCCACCAGCCGCTCCTTGGAAACCCTATACAGAGTCATTGAGTTGGAACCAACCTGATGGCACTTAACAATAACCATTTGTTATGTGAAGAGTAAAATTTTTGAGAAATTGATTTCATATTTTTCTTTACTATCTCAAGATGAAAGGAGCTCTGGTAGTGTAGTGGTTATGAATCGGGCTGCTAACCTCAAGGTTGGCAGTTCGAAACTATCAGCTGTTCCGTAGGAGAAAGATGAGGCTTTCTGCTCCCGTAAAGATTTACAGCCTCAGAAACCCTGTACAGGGTCACTATGAGTCGGAACTGACTCCACGGCACATAACGACAACAACATCTCAAGATGAACTGAAATTGTTTCACAGCAGTAAACCAACTTTAAAATGCACACGCTTAGGAGTCAGCATAATAATACAGAATGCAAACTCTTAAGTGCAGATATGCACTTCTTTCAGATATGACAATGTGACACCCAGTTTGAGACTCTCTAGGTGGCCCTTTAGAGCCCAGATTCATAGATAAGCTTCAGGAAAGTACTATGTTTGGTTTATGACAACACGGTCCTGGGAAACTTCATTGTATAGGCTATTTTTAGAATTCACCAACAAAATGCTTGAGTGCTCTTTCACCCCTTTCTCTTTGGTTTATGACAGCTAGACTTAAAGCATTATTCTTAATTGAATAATTCCAGAAACACACATTTCATTATTTTCAAAAGGTGAAACATGAAAACAGATGTGAGTCCTGCATAGTAATTTAAAAAACATGATGATGGGGTTCCCACTGCAAAAATGGGACAATTTAAACATCAACAATAAAAGATTTAAAAAATTGGGGCACATCAAATATTTTTCAATCCGTGATTTTTTTTTTTAATTCATGAGGTCTTAAAGACTAAATGAATAAACCTCACTGATAACCCCTAGAAGTTAACGTTGAACATTAGTAACTACAGGAAAGAATCAAGTCTTTATCTTGTCTGTTTTGTACAAACTGCCATTCAGGCAAACTGAATAAATGCGGGATAACTCTTTTTTTTTTTTTTTTTAAAATAGAACATCACTTAATAAATGTAGAAAGAAAGGCAGAATTTTTGTGTCACCATTTTGCAAGCCCCAGTGAAAGAATGAATCTAGGCAAAACCATTAGAAGAAAGGTTGATAAACACGTGATAAATCAGGCTTATAATACCCTGAACCTACTGATCATTTGTTCACCTTTTTACCATGAAAACTTTTACATTTATAGAAATATCAGCATAAATAATGCACTGAATACTCATATACCATTTAACTGCCACACTTGTTTTATCTCTAACACATACACACATACAATTATTACAAGAACATTTGAGAATAAGTTACAGACATCATAATCCCTTATCCCTAAATATTTCAGCTTGTACTGCTTAAGAACAAGGGCATTCTATTATGTAACCACAATACAATTGGTATTGATGAATCATAACATCACACATACATACATAAAAACAAATACCCAGACATTATATGAAGGGGCTTCAAAAAGGTCATAGGAAAATGGAATGAAAAGATAATGGGACTGTTCCACAAACTTTCCGAAGTCCCTGTGTATGCTTCCTAATGTGATGCAATAAGAAGTACACAGAATTACCTGTGGACTATTCTGGCCGAAAAAATCGAATCTGAATGTATTTAAACCACCTGATCAAGGGCCACCTGATTTTAATAAAGTTTGATTGGCGTACAGCCATATTCATTCACTGATGGCTTATCTATGGGGGCTTTTTGTGCAGAGTTGACTAGTTAGGGACAAAGACTGTCTGGCTCACAAAACCAAAAATAGTCACCATCTCGCACTTTGTAGAAAAAGTTTGTTGACGTCAGTCCTAGATATAGCTGTCAGTTTTCAGGGACACACAGAATATAGAGAAACATGTGAAACATCACTAAAGGGAATCAATGAACAAACCAGAATGTGAGAAGCTCCACAGAAGCACAAGAAGGAAAGAGGAATTTAAATTAAAAGACACTAAGAGACATTTCAAGCAAATTCAACTTGTTTGTGAACTTTCTTTAAATCGTTTTTGATGAAAAAGACATTAATGAGACAATTGGGACATTCTGAACACTGACTAGATTTGTGAGTAAGGAATTATTGTTCATTTTTTGATGTGGAAATGTTACTAGGGTTACATTAGTAAGAAAAAGTCTTTATCTCTAATATTGACGTATTTAAGGCAGACTGTTATGTCTAGGATTTGCTAGTGAGAGTCTGTGCAGTGAGAGTAGGGGTGGACTAGACTAGAACCAATGCTGACCATGAGTTGACCATGTTGAAGCTTGGTGCTGGGTACATGGGGCTTCTTCATTCTCTATACGCTCTATTTTTTGGGTAGGTTTGAAATTTCCAAAGTTAAAAATCAACAAAATCCAGTCAAGACCAGAAAATAAAACAAAATAGTTTGAGAGAGTTAAAGTTCCTCTCGAAAAATTCTACAATAGACAGTGGCTCTTTCCTTTATACTTGCAGGAAAGGAAGAAAGAAAAGAAAGTCTCCATGAGAATAAACACGTTTAACCAAAAGCAACATACCTTGTTTCTTATGCGATCTCTCTTAACCACTTCCTCTTTTTTTTCAGTCTTTTCTGAGATGCCTATTGATTCAGTACTTTCATTCTTTTTTCCTTTATCCCGAAGTGCTTCTTTTTCTTTTTTCATTTCTTCTTCTTTTCTTTTAAAAGACTTCTCTTTGTCATAGCGCTCTTTCTGCCTACGGCGTTCTTCTTCTTGCCGCTTCAGTCTCTCTCTCTCCCGAAGGATGCGCTCTTGATCTCGGTCATAATCTCTTTCTCTCTCCCTGTAGTCTCGGCCACTGTCATCTTCAGGCCTACATAAAAAACAAAGACCTTGTCATCACAAATGCAGGAACACTGATTGCCACCTGGCCACTGCAGGGAGATGGCATTTTCGGAGTGGAGGAAAAACTGTTGGTGTTGATTAAAATCATTCACCCAGATTAAGATTCTGGAATATTTGAAACCTTCCTTTTCTTTTCATTCCCTCTGTCCCTGATTAAAAAAACAAAACAAAACCAAAACAACAGAAAATAAACACAGACACCTGTTACCATCAAGTTGATTCAGACTCAGTGTGACCTGATAAAATAATTTCTCTCAATTCAGGTCTTAGACATAAGCAGCAAAACCAACATCTAGAAACCCAGCTAACTGAAATGTACCAAAGAGCTCTTAACTACTGACCTCTTTGGCTTTTCATCTTTAAGTTCACTATCAGAACGCTTGGTCAATGTACAACTCTGCCCACTGGCTCTTTCATCATTCAGATTCTCTTTGTCCAATTTCTTGGGCTTTTCTCTTTTGTCCAATTCTTTTTCATCTCCTTTTTCTGGCTTCTTGAGCAGCTTTAAAGAGAATGATTTGTTTTTATTCTGAAGGGTAGGACACAGCTTCTTTTCTATTTAAAGAAAACAATATGCTTAATGTGGACTCTACAAGGCCCCCTAAATCTGCAGGTGCTCTTAACTTTCAGGTGAACAATTAGTGCATGAGAGTAGTGATGTACTAAACGGATGCTATGGATTAATGTGAAAGTGTTATCCACACAAATGGAGTAGCTTAATCACTCTGTGGCAATAGGATCAAGATTCCTTTAGCTTTAAGTAGGTCAACCTTTAAGTGAACCAAGGCACCCTTCCAAGTAAGTCTTCTGTAGCAAATCAGCATGTTGATAAAACTTAATGGGTAAATATACCACAAATTTAAAATGCTAAGGAGGTCATTCATGTTGGGCTACTTTTATTCAGTACTTGGAGTGACAAATACTTTGGTCACTAAAGGAAAGATCCATTGCAGGAAATAGTTTGCCTTGAGCCTGAGAACAATATGCTTTCCCTATGATGGAACAATCATATTACCATTAGCGATGAAGAACAAAAATTTGCATTTGATTAAAAACTCCAAATGCCTTCTATAACAGAATTGACAAGTTCCATCTTTACTGAGTAGAAACTCTGCTTAATATTTAAATTGAGGGGGCTTCAAAAAGTTGGTGGAAAAATTCCATTATCTTTTCATTCATTTTTCCACAAGCTTTTTAAAGTCCCCCTGTATATATAAATATATAAAAATAAATATATACCTATATATACAAATGGTTTCTAAAGTCCAAATTGCTAACAAGACAGCTCCTTTTTAAACCACTGCTACAAATCTCTCTAAAATATCCCCAAGTGTTGGGTATTCAGAGAAATTTTAGGCAAAACAGAAGAATTTCAAGTCTCAGAGTGAAGGCAACATACAAATTGCCAAGCAAACGGCAAAGCACATACAAGACTTAAGCATGAAGCAGAGACAGCCACTGCAAATGGTGAGTCCCAACGGAACACTTAGAAAGCACCAGTGGATCAAACTGAGGATACCAAGCGCAGGTTTCATTGGAAGTGCTCTTATTTCTCTAATGAACATCTATCAGAAACCAAGATGTTCATTACTCTAATAAGAACATGAATGAATGTCTCTAGCATGGCTGGCTCTACCTTCTGCCTTGGTGATAATTCGGGAAAGCAAGTCACTAATGGCATGGCAGATGTTGATTGCTGGAAGGTACTAAGATGGGAACCACTCACCCCTGGAGCCCCTTGTCACCAATAATGAGTGCCAGAGAATCTTAGCCATATAAACTGTGGAATTTCCAGGAGGTAAAACAGGGAGATCCTGTCACCATCTCTGTGGGAATCTCCTCCCCCCACCAAGTACAATTCTCCAAGAAGTTTGTCAGAGCAAAGGCTGCCCAAGCCACGCCCCCAGAAGGGAAGCAGGGAGGCTGGGATCTTTCTACAAGTTTTCCTCTTCTAAACGCAGCACACAAATCAGAATCTGCTATGCACAGATTCCCAGCTAGATGAAAGATAACATGGGAATCATGTGAGAGGGAAAGACATATAATAGAGGACAGTTATCTCGAACACTCCCACAAGGCAGCCAGTTATGAGAGGCATATAAGAAGATGAGAAAGAGCTATTTAAGCACAGTTATCCTCTGGCTGCGTATGATTGGAGCTTCTGGCTACACAGCAGAGCATGAGGCAGACACCTGGGCTGCCTTTTGAAGCAGATGTGTAAATAGCTCAGCTTTGAAGAACCCAAGGGGTTTTCTACAGGTAACACTACCACCACCACCGAAAGGACATATGAACTAAGACCTGTGTGTATGACATGATACTAAGTGCTCGGTATCATGTCCTTGGTCCTTACATTTTTCTGATTCACAGCTTGTAACAGAAACCTGTGTACCTGAAGACAGTGGAAAACAAACAGATGAGGCAACTTCATGTATCAAATATGAAGGAAAAGCTGAATAAAACCCATAATTAATGCCAGCCAGCCCTAAGCCCTCATTTACTATGAACTGAGAGAATTGTATGCCAAAAATGGAACATTTTCCATGACCAAAATACCACAGATCTGCCCTGAAGAGCTGATCAACATCTTCTTAATTTTAAAAAATACTGCATAGTATTGTAGGAAAGATTGGTTTACTTCCCTCCCTCCACCCAAAACAAAAACAAGAAAACCTGTATTTACACCACAAGATACATGCATATTTAAAGATGTAGATACATGCAATTTTTAGGAACATACAGTCTACTTAATTTATTTTTATACCTTAATCTTTGGTTCTTCCTTTATTTTGTCCCTTTCTGGAACTCTGTCTATCTTCTTTAGCTTTTCAATATCTTTCCTTTTTCGTTTCTCTTCTTCTTTCCATTTCCTCCTCTCTTCTTCTCTTTGTCTTTTTCTTTCTATTTCTCGTCTCCTTCTTTCTTCTCTCTTTTCTTCTCTCATTCTCTAGAAAGAAACATCAACATAAGCCTTCAAGCAAGACATTCATCACCCAAAACTAGCCACTCCCGAAGACACACAGTGGGGCCCCACTACCCTAGATGATCTTTCCTTCTTACTTCAACCCAACTCCTCCCAATTCCGAATATGAAAGCAAATGAAGATCAGGGGCTGCTGGTATAACAGTCTGCCATTGCTACCTTGCTATATTACCAGAGGCTTTCAGAATATCAACCGGATCTTTGGGACAAGCTAAGGACTCTAGTTTTGCAGAGTGAATCTCTGGTCCAACCACCAGAGTAAAGGAGAGGGCCAGAGAGTGAGAGCAATGGGCCAAATCTTTAAGGAACGATGGTGGAAGAGCAGCTATTTTCCTCCAGGCCCCCAACACTCTGAAAACATTCATAGAATGTGAACCAATGAAATAAAAAGGATTGAGAGAACTATAAAATCAAAAGGTTTACCTGCTTGTTTTTCAGGAAGCTCAAAAGTGGGGTTGTCTTTTTAGCTACATAAATGTAAACAGATTATTAATGATAACTTATCAACCCCTAGAAAGGATTCCATTTTCTGACATTCCCTGCCACCCACCCAAGGTGGGAAAATGACACCCCTTACACAAAAAGTCCAACTGTATTAGTGGACAATTTACAGTATTCCGTTTGACCCTGCAAACTAAAAGTGCTTTTAATGAAGTTAAATTCAAATTAAGACACCAAATACAATTTTTTAAAGAGTTATACTCAGTTATATTCAGTGTTAAGGAGCTTTGGAGTGGTTACAAATCGGGCTGCGAACCTCAGGGTCAGCAGTTCGAAACTACCAGCTGTTCCATGGGAGAAAGATGAGGCGTTCTGCTCCCGTAAAGATTTACAGCCTTGGAAACCCTGTATAGGGTTACTATGAGTCGGAATCCACTCCACGGCACATAACAACAACATACTCAATGTTAGTGAGAAGTGCCAAGGATAATTTACTGCTAGGTGTATAAATTAGGCCAACTTTCTTGGGAAAAATTTGGGGAGGGGCTAAAATACCTAACCCTCTTGACCCTATAATTCCAATCTAGGAATTTATATTAAGGAAATGATCAGAGATGGTCTTATACTATGTCGCTGCTGCTGGATGCCATTAAGTCGGTGCCGACTCATAGCGACCCTGCATAGGGTTTCTAAGGCTATAAATCTTTAAGGGAGCAGAAAGCCTCACTTTTCTCCCATGAAGAGGCGATGGGATTCAAATGGCTGACCCTGCGTTTAGTAGCCCAACGCATGACCCACTGCGAGAGAGAGCTCCTTGGTTTACAATAAACAGCCATTAAAAATGATTATTTAAGTGTCCATTTCAATCTCTGAAAAATACTACCTAGCCTTCTTTGGCCTCCTCCACCACACAAAGATTACAGACTTGGAAACCCAATGGGGAAACAGTACACTGTCCTATAGGGTGGTTATGAGTCGGAATCGACTCCATAACTATGAATTAGTCTCTTACCTAAGGACTCCTGGGGTGGTGCTTTAGGATCATCACTGGACTTCTCATTCTAACTACAAGGTCAACAGTTCAAACCCACCAGCTGCAACTCGGAAATCCTCTACAGGGTTGCTAAGAGTTGGAACAGACTCGACGGCACTTTAACAACAACATCAAAGCAAAGAACAACCATTGTCTATCTATACCAAACCAAACCAGATCCACTGCCATCGAGTCGAGTCTAACTCATAGCGACTCTGCATAGGGCTTCTGAGGCTGTCAACCTTTATGCAAGCTGAAAGCTTCATTTTTCTCCCGCAGAGTGGCTGGTGGGTTTGAACTGACTTTGCAGTTAGCAGCCCAGTGATTACTTTCCTACCTCCTGCTAGACCCTTCTACATGGAAGGAGAATGCAAATTGCATGGAGTAGTTTCTGACCAAGGGGAAGGAGAGACCTCTGCATTTCCAGATCACTGACTTCTTGTTGTTAAGTGCCATGGAGTTGGTTCCGACCCACAGCGATCCTGTATAGGGTTTCTGAGGAGCAACTGGTTAGCTTGAATCACCAACCTTGCTGTTCAGACCGACCTTGCAGTCCAGCGCATTAACCCTCAGCACCACACGCTAGTAAAGTATAAAACTGTGTTTCTATTTATATCTTTGAATAGGGTGCTACATCATGCTTGGTAAAGTGGAGGGTCAGCGAAAAACAGGAAGCTCCCCAATGATATGGACTGACACAGTGGCAGCAGCAGTGGGCTCAAGCACAACAATTGTGAGGATGGTGCAGGACCAGGCAGGGTTTCATTCTGGTGTGCACAGGGTCGCTGTACGTTGGAACTGACTCAACAGCACCTAACAACAACAGCCTTATATCTAGATTTTTGAACATATACTTCCTTAGGATAAATGGAAGTCCTGGTGAGTCAAAGACTGCTCATGTTTAGAGCTATAGGTACAGTAGTGACAAATTATTAGTACTATAAACAACATCCAAACTAGAATTTAAATTTTACAGAAAGTAATTTTTTTATTTTCTGCCCCAAAATCTATAGGAATAACTTATCAACAGAAAATACCAATCTATTTTCAAAGGCTTACCAAAAAGACACTACTCTTCAAAATGATTACTTATGTTACATTTGTGTGGCATTCATTACACAGGTCACAGAAAACTGTTTTCCTCAACTTATCAATCTACCTCATAATCCTGTGAGGTAGGTCATTGTATCTGTACTTTAAAGGAGGAAAAACAGAGTCTCAGAGAAGTTAGTGATTTCTTCAAGATCACAGAGCTAGCAAGTGATGAAAATGGGAGTCAAACCTAAGTATTCTGATGAAAAAGTCATTTCCCTTCATTCCTTTTGCCCACTTACCTATTAATTCTCTGTTTTTGGCTTCTATTTCCTCTAGCAGTGTCTCTGGGGTAGATGTCATTTTTTCATTATCTGCTGCATAGCTTTCTAAAAATTTTCTATACTCTGGATCTAAGTCATCAATTAAGGAAATAGGGGAAAAAAAAAAAGCAGACTTTACACAAAATAGGAATTTCTGTACCTAGAATATTTTATCAGAAAACTTTCTACTTAAAGGAAAATTGAAAATAAAACTGTTTCCACACGAAATAAGCTTCTTTCAGGCCTCACTGGTCACTTATTTTCAGAATGTCTATCTGTGTTACCAACTATGGGAGTGTGGTGTAACATGAGCATCAGGGAAAATGAAACATCACATATTATAAACACAATGCCAGGGATGGTACACTTTTCTGTTATTGTTATCTTTTTTCATCTGAAGCAAATATAACAAACTATTAATATTTGAAGGCGCCCTGCTGGTGCAGTGGTTAAATGCTTAGCCGCTAACTAAAAGGCTAATGGATTGAAACCACTAACTACTCTGTGGGAGAAAGCTGTGGCAGTTTGTTTCCTTAAAGACTACAGCCTTGGAAACCCTATGGGGCAGTTCAACTCCATCCTATAGGGTGGCTGAGTCAGGATTGACTCTGCTCCTACTAATGCAGATTCATATTTATGGGAGAACTGCAAACTATAGCTATGGGATCTTCTGAGAGTATCATGTATAACATGCAGACTATTCCTTTATGGGTGTACTTCACTTACAAGGAACTCAACTACAGTCTGATAGATCACTTTTGTATGGTCTGTGCCACGGAGTCGGTTCCGACTCATAGCGACCCTGTACAGGGTTTCCGAGGCTGTTAAGTCTTTAGGGGATCAGAAAGCCTCATCTTTCTCCTGCAGAATGGCTGGTAGTCTTGAAATGCTGACCCTGAGGTTAGCAGCCCGATTCGTAACCACTACACTACCAGAGCTCCTTCACAGTCTCATAAATCCCACCAAATGATTGGGTTGGATTATGCAGATAAGGTGCTTGTGGCTACCAAGGGAACCAGACAGCTTGCTAATGATGCAAATAAGGTGTATGATATTATGTGGGTATCAGACCATGCACAGAAAATGTATGAACTCTAACAAGGGGCTTAGTCAGTTTTGCCAACCTGTTAGGCTTAAAATGAGCCATCCCTGAGGCAGAAAGAGGGAACACCTCACTACCACCAAGAAACAAGAGCCAGGAATAGAGGACATCCTTTGGATCTGAGAAGCTCGTAGGCCCAGGAGACAGAGAGCTGTAACATGGGAGAAGGCATGAGATGGGCAAGCAGCAGCAGCAAGAGAAGCAGAACGAGAAAACTGGCATGAGGTAACTGTGGTAGGCTTGCCTCCAGGAGCGTGTCACAGGAGCTAAAGGGCTTTGCAACAATTGTGCAGGCAGGGCACAGGTCAGATCTGAGGGGGCCCAGGGACCAGTCTTGAGGAGCCTGTCCTTAGGGGGCATAGAGGCATGGAGAGGGGTCCTGCACCAAAGAGGCATTTTATCTACATGCTTCCTAATCCTAAATGATATACCCTGTTGTTCCTGATCCTGAATTGTAACCTGTTTGTTTCCTAATAAACCGCATTAATTGTATTGTCTGTAAATTCTGTGTGGCCATTACAACAAATTATTGAACCCAGCAGAGAAGTAGAAAGTGCCATGGGAGGGAGGGGAGGGATGGCTGCTATCTGTATCGGTAAAAAAAAAAAAGTTATAGAAAGGAGGTATTCCTGAACTCCACAAATTCTCTGAAACCCTCACAGGCATCAGCCTTGGGCTGTTGATCTTGATTCTCCTTCCCTCTTGTGAAGTTAGAGGAGGTCAGTCAACCCCTCTGCCAAGCCATTTTTTTAACCATATACCATGCCATCCAATACTCTACTGAGAACACTCCCATTCAACAGTGAAACTAGGCCTAAACTGGAACCTTCCTATACTGATGATGGGAATGTAAAATGGTGTAGCCACATTAAAACACAGTTTGTCAGTTCCACAAACAAGTCAATTAAGTGTAACCTAAGGTGAGCAATAACACTGGAGAGGCACATATTCCTCAGAACAATCAAGCACATGAGAGAAAAAGGGCAGCGTTTGTCCAAGGATAAAGCTCAGAATGCAGAAAGGAACAGGAAACACAGGGCGGAAGTGGGCAGAGTGCGATAACATTGTGGGGATTGCAATCAATGTCATGATGTGTATGAGGTGTTGAATGGAAAACCAATTTGCTGGGTGAACTTTCACCCAAATCACAAAAAAAGTTGAATAAAATGTTTACCATTTGATTGAGAGTTGACATCTAAAGAACTTTATTAAGTACATGACCCAGTAATTCCACTTCTAATATATTCCCAAAGACAATGAAAACTTTTTACCATCTCTAATTATAAATATGTTCACACCATTTTATTTTTTTTACTTCAACAAATGCGAATCAGGTATTTCAAAAAGATAAATTAGGGGCAAATCCTAGATCTGACACTGAAGGTGACAATTCTGAGAGTCCTTTCCTTGATACTTCAGGATCAGAAAGGTAACTACTGCTTGCCTTTTGGCATTTCTATGCACTATTGAGCATGCCATTGGTGCTACAGTCTTCCAGATATCAATCTATGGCAATGTCAATAAGCAGCTGTGTGATACTACTCTTCCCTAGAAAATATCAGTTATTATAACAAGTGATGGGAATCAAACCGTATCATACTTAAATATCAAACTGATAAGAAATATTGGAGGCAAGTCTTATCTAACATCTCAACAAAACAAAACTGGTTATAGAGATCTCAAAATCTGGACCTCGCTTACCCTAAATGTTATCATTTCCTGTATTTCAGTTCAATCTTATTACTTTGTGTGTAGGTTAGCTACATATTTAAAGCCTTCAAATATAGAAATGACCACTTAAACCATTTTATATGAATCACTCAGATATGGAATTATTATACTTTGAAAACTTCTGATTTTATCTATTATCTAATGAATAGACCTATGGTGTTTTACTGCTCAATAGTTATCCCACATTGCTTAATGGTGGAGAAATTAAATGCAGCTAGCCAGAGATTAGAAACTCTTCATAGGAAACACACCTCCATTCTAACAATTCAGCAAAACCTCCATTGGCAAATCACTGTTCTCATGAACTTTATTTAAAACACAAAAACAAAAATAACTCATAGCAATAGTACTCTATAACTATAGCAATACTCTACCATCATCAATAGTTCCGACTTTTGTATCTCTTTTCTTAGTCTTCTTTTTCGCAGCTTTTTGAAAAGGTGCAAATTCTACTATAGCAGGATATTCTTGACCTGTTTGGGGGGAGAGAAAAAAAACACACACACAACATAAAACTTGCTATAACAATGAAAATGTCAAAAGTGGATATAGGAGTCAGCTGCCTCTGTTGCTATTGTTGTTGTTAAGTGCCATTGAGTCGGTTCTGACCCATAGCGACCCTGTATAGGGTTTCCGAGGAGCAGCTGGTGAGCTTGAACCACCGACCTTGCAGTTCAAACGGCTTTGCGCATTAACTCATAGCACCACACCAGGCTTCCTTTAATGGCAGTCATCTGAAGTGGGTCTCCTTATGGACACAAACAACATCAGTACAACTACGCTCAACATCCTATCCAAGGAGCCCAAAACTCACACTGATAACATAATGAAAAGATAAAGCAAGGAAAGAAAATGTTTACTGATTCAAGTCCAAATGGGTGATCTATTTTAATATCAAAAACAAAACAAAAAACTAATTTTCATTTAAAAATTACACCAGAAGTGTCCAGAATAGAGACAGAAAATAGATTAGACTAGTGGTTGCCTAGAGTTGGGGAAGGAGTCCTGGTGTGGCGCTGCAGGAGAAAGCGCAGGACTGTGAAGCTGGTTTGAACCACAAGGTCTGCGGTTCAAACTCACCAGTTGTTCCTCAAAACCCCTTTACAGGGCTGCTATGAGTCAGAACTGACTCGATGGCATTTAACAACAGAGTTAGAGGTGGTGATGGTGATGGTTGAGAATGAGGAGTGACAGCTAATGGGTATGTGGTTTCTTTTGGGGGTAATGAAAATGTTACAAAATTAGGTTGTAGTGATGGCTGTACAACTTTCTGTATATACTAAAAGCCACTGAACTGTACTCTGTAAAAGGGTGAATTTTATGGTTTGTGAATTATATCCCAGTAAAGCTGTTTTTAAAAAGATATATATTAGATCCCTGCCACAGATCCCTGTCCCCACAAGGCATAATAAAATACTATCTTTAGATCATTGGCCTATAGATATAAGCCAGAATTATACAAGTAGAAATGAGCTTCATAAGACCTTCATAAGGCAGTCATGGAGACAACATGATTTTGGAAGCCCTATTGAATATTGAATTTGATTAGCTTAAGTTGGGAACTACTTGAAGAGAAGGGATTGCTTGATAAACCAGGCTGAAGTAGAGAAATTGTAAAAGGTAGGCTGAGAAAACCTAAGTAGGGCCAAACTATATTCACCATTGCCAGGGTAGATTTTGGCTCTTAGCGACCCTATAGGACAAAGTGGAACTGTCCCACAGGATCACTGTGAGTTGGAACTGACTCCAAGGCACATAATAACAAAAACAACAATGAAAGCTTCATCTTTCTCCTGCCCAGTGGCTGGTTGGCTTGTGGTTCACAGTCCCGTGTTTATTCTACAGAGACACAGTGCTCCCTAACAATAATGTGTGTGTTTTAAGTGACATTGAGTTGGTTCTGACTCATAGCAACCCTGTATGAAGTTTCTAAGGAACACCTGGTGGGTTTGAACTGCCAACCTTGTGGTCCAGTGCTTACTTATCAGTTGTGGCTCACAATGACCCTCTGCAAGGTTTCCAAGGAGCGGCTGGTGAATTTGAACCACTGACTTTATGATACAAACCAACCTTGACGTCCCGTTCTTTATCCCACAGCACCACAGCACGACTTCACAATAATTGTTAAGTGTACTCAAGTCGGTTCGACTAATAGCGACCCTGAATAGGGTTTCTGATGAGCGGCAAGTGAGTCTGAACCGCCTACCTTGTGGTACAGTGCATTATCCTGCAGTGCTACATTGGTGATGGTTATGTGCCGTGGAGTCGGAACCGACTCTTAGTGACCCTGTACAGGGTTTCCAAAGCTGTAAATCTTTATGGGAGCAGAAAGCCTCCTCTTTCTCCTGCGAAACAACTGGTAGTTTTGAACTGCTGACCTTGAGGTTCGCAGCCCGATTCGTAACCACTACGCTACCAGAGCTCCTTTGCAGTGCTACATTAGGAGAACCCTAAATACCAGAGTAAAGAGTTTGGATTTTTTTTAAACTATTATCTTAAAATCAATATTTTAAAAAAGATTAATTTCATGACAATATAACAGAACAAATGACAAAAAATTATGAATCTTACAAGTTTAGAGGTGTGGTTGTCTAAGCATTAAGCGATGAGCACCTAAGTTATGAAAATGTCAGTAAGTCTAGATGAACAAAACATTTAAAAATAAGAAACTGGCGTGAGTCATCATTTGTTTAAATGTAGAGGATAACAAAGGAGAAAAAGATTAAACTTAATTCAGATTTTCAGGCTAAGCAATTAGGAAGTCATTGCTACCTGCTGGATACAAAATTGGCGTTAAGAAGCAGTTGGTTTAGGGGGAGGATTACAAGAAATTGGTCAATACACATGGCAATCCTTTAACTGGTATACTCGCATTCCCTGACAAAGATTTAATTTTTTACCAACTTTGTAGAAATACTGAAAAACAAAAACCACCCAGAAAACAACATGCCACACCATTCATCTGTGACTGAATAGCCTAAAGTGGCAAATGGCAGCTTGGACATTCATCTTGACCAAAATCCTGCACAGGTGGTAGATAAACAAGTGAGTGAGAATGTTGGACACTATCCACTGGGAACTACTGTAAAGAATTTGAATTAAATAAATGTAGGTCTTTGAAGCCAAAGAAGCAAATATGGTTAACTATATAAAACGTGCCTTACAAATTTAAAGAGTCATTTATCAGTATTCCTGCTGAAACAAGTAAATCATATGATCTACGGGGGGAAAATGGTCACCTGAGAAAACTGTGGTGATAATGAATACGAAAGGGCTGTGGCAAATGACATATCTATTTATAAGACTGCACTAAGCCTATCACGTGTGTAAAAACTGTTTTAACTGCTGCACATTGTATCACCCAGAATTTACATACATCGTCTTAAACATACAAATGACAACAAACCAAATGCCCCTTCTAGTTCATAAGGACTCACCTTTATTGTCAAGGAATACATAACCATCAAAGCGATCCCTGAACAAAATAATGTCCTCTTGGTTTTTAAAGTTGATGTATGCTCTGGCATACATATGAGGATACAGACTGCAGAGAGGAAAGCAATTATGTAAATGTGATTGCAGGAGTCTGGCTAAATGACAAGTAGGCATACACATTAAATAGACAGGCCCCCAAAAAGGCAAATGGGAAATTATTAGTAAGATGCAAAGAATATAAGAAATCTTTTTCATATACTACCATCCCCCTTTTTTTCCTTTTACCTAGTATCATTAGAAAAAAACTCAAAATAATCATGCTCGGGCATAGGCTGAAGATGTTCGAGAAGCTGCTCCTTGGTCAAAGTGGGAGGCAATCTTCGAATTACCACCTTGAGAAATGAAGAAGGAAAATCAAATTACTACCAATCAATTTCCTGTTTTACCTGAAATTACCCCAGGCTGAGCTGGTTTTTTTCAAGAACCCAGGAGAAAATATTTTTCTACAGCCTAATGATCCAAACTTTTCGTTGTTCTTAAGTGCCTTCAAGTCAGTTTCCGAATCATACACATAGCGATAGGCTTTTCCAAGAGCCGCTGGTGGGTTTGAACTGCCAACTTTGTGATTCGCAGTGTAGTGCTGATCCTAAAGCGCCACACCAGATTTGGTGGCGGTTGGTTACGTATGGCTTGTGAGTCTTTGTTGTTACGTACCGTGGAGTCGGTTCCGACCCATAGTGACCCTGCACAGGGTTTCCGAGGCTGTAAATCTTTACGGGAGCAGAACACCTCATCTTTCTCCCAGGGAACAGCTGGTAGTTTGAACTGCTGGCCTTGAGGTTGGCAGCCCGACTCGTAACCACTACGCTAGTCTTTACAGGATCTGAAAGCCTCATCTTACTCCCGCGGAATGTGTGGTAGGTTCGCACTGCAGACCTTAAGGTTAACAGCCGGACTCGTAACCACTACGCTACCAGAGCTTCTTACACCAGCAGAATTGTTGTTGTTAAGTCGGTTCCGACCCATAGCAACCCTGCATCGGGTTTCCAAAGAGTGGCTGGTGAGCTTGAACTGCCGACCTTGCGGTTCAAACCGACTTTGCAGTCCAGCGCATTGACCCACAGCGCCACACAAGGATTCCTGGTGTTGCCACTGTAGTATTAGCACTGGACTGAGAACGACAGGACCAGCAGTTTAAACCCATGAGGTGCGCCTCAGAAACCCTATACAGGGTCACTACGGGTTGGAATCGACTCTACACTTAACAGCAATGGTAATTCTGGGAGCGCGGTGGATCTGCAAGGATAAGTACATGACTGCGAACCACAAGGTCGGAGGTTCGAGCCTCCGTGGGAGAAAGCTGAAGCTTTCTGCTCCCGCAAAAATTTACAGCCTCAGAAATCCTATACAGGGTCGCTAAGAGTGGGAACCCACGCCACGACACTGAAGAACAATAGCAACGCGGTTTAAAAACACTCTTTTAACCAACCAGAACCGCCTGGATTAAAGACCTCAGGTTCCGCTCTTACCCCGCAGTTTATTAGGTTTGCATAGTATTTGTTATCACCCATTTTCTTCTCCAGATCTAGTGTTAGGAAATCGGCAGGCCAACCCTGGTCTTTTGTGGGTGTCACAAACTCATGATTTATTCATCTCTCTCGCCCACAACCCAGCACATCCTAAACAAAATCCTTCCTCATTTACTTTAAAGGAGTCAAAACTCTAACGTGGAGTACAAAACAAAATTCACCCATTACTCCCCAAATAAGAGGTTCTGATCTCTCCCCTACATCATTTCCCCAACGCGCTCCCCCAATTCGCCTCCATTAATACGATCAACTACTTTCATCTTTGAGGTCCCCTCCCTGACTTAATAATTCTCCCCAATAAACCTTTCATTCTACATTCTCTTCACTTCACTCTCCCTCAAGAATCACCTCACAGCTTTGACCGGAGCCCCCATCCCTCACTCCCACTCCGGGGCTTGGCCTGGAGGAGCTGCCCTCATTTCTGTCGAGTGGATGAGGCAGGGTCGCACGATTCTCATTCAGGCGAAGAGACTGAGTCTCAGAGAGACTGGGAGCTAAAGAGGACCAGTCCCTTTCCCAGCCATCATCCGGGCTGCGGACCCGTCCCACCCTCTACCAGACCAACCGCCGGCCAGCACCTTGCTCAGAGCCTCTTTCTTCTCCTTATTGCGATCCTGTTTATCTTCTCCCTTGCCGCTTTCCCCCGAAGCCGCGCCGCCGCTGCCTGTAGCCCCCGGGGGCGTTAACAGAGTTACGCGCTTCTCCTTGGGCCTATGTTCCTTCTCCTCCTTCATGGCCACGGCTAGGTTTCTCACAGCCGCCGCTGGGCCTAAACGCCGCTACGCTGGGCACCTATGAAGACCGCCCAGTTCCCTCAAAGCTCCTCCCCCAACAAGTGCCCTTAGTTACCAGCCTGGCCACGTGATCGGTTGGGTCGCATCTAGATCTCGCGACATTTCAGGGAGCTCGGCCTTCTTCAGTAGAAAGGTTTTAACACCTTGTCATTACTTCCCGCTTGCTGAATCCTCGCCACCTCCTATCCCGTTGCGACACAGGCTCCCTCGGGGCGTTCCTTTGGGCCCCAAGGCCACCGCGCCATGTTGAATAGGACGACTCTTTTTCCGAGACTACAAATCCCGGCATACAAATCCGTTACCGGCTCCTGGCCAAGAGTGCTTTTTGTTGTTAAGTGCCGTCGAATCGGTTCCGACCCATAGCGACCCTTCATAGGCCGTTTCTGATGAGCGGCTGGTGGGCTTGAACCGCCGACTTTGAGGTTCAAGTCGACTTTTGCAGTCCAGCGCATTAACCTGCAGCGCCACACCAGGACTCTGGCTAAGAGTGTTGGGGTGCTGTAGATTGCTCAGGGTCCCTATTTGTAAGTAAATTGAAACTTCTCATCTTGAAAGCTTAGTGGTTTTCAGATCACAATATAGTTTCTGCGGACTGTGCTTCGTTTTGTTTTCCACAGATAAACGCAATGTTCTCCAAATTTTGCCTCATTAGGGAAATTATTTGTATTTTCTACTATTGATTCTAAAACCTACTTCCAGAAGCTTTCAATTTTTTTTTTTTCTTATATTGGTTAAGGTTCATAGCAGATTCTCATACTCACAAGATACTGATATTTAAAGAATGTGATATAGTTATGGAGAAAGATGTGGCAGTCTTGGAAACTCTATGGGGTAGGTTTTACACTCATGGAAGCAGCAGTCAAGAACCCAAACGATGTTATTGCATTAGGCGAATCTGTCGCACAAAACCTCTTTAAAGTGTTCAACAGCAAAGATGTCAGTTTGAGAACTAAGGTGCACATGACACACCTTTATCAATATCAATAACCTTATATGCATGCAAAAGTTAGACAGTGAATAAGGAAGATCATAGAAGAATTGATGCACTTGAGTTAATGTTGTTGGAGGAGAATATTAAAAGCACCATGGACTGCCGAAAGAACCAACAGATCTCTGTTGGAAGAAGTAAATCCAGAATGTTCCTTAGAAGCCAGGGTGGGCAGACTTGTTTCTTGTTTGGACATACTGTCTGGAGGGACCAGTCTCTAGTTTTACACCATCGTTTCATTGCAATGATTACAATCCCCTCCATGCATCATCATTCAACAGTATTTGCTTCCATTCCCTCTGGGTTTTTTTTTTTAATTAAATGTTTTTATTTTGGATTGAGTGAAAGTTTACAGGGCACATCATCAGCTTCACATT